GGGGAGGGGAGGGCAGATGGGGGGGAAGCAGCACACTCTCGCTCTGTTTCAGTATCACGTCCATGAAAAGTAAGACAAAAGCATGTGCCACTCTTGCAATTTAAAAGCCAGAAGCAATTTTAGAGAGATCAAACAACACGGAGACGACATCTAGACAACAGCCAGGGGCTCAGCTTTTCTAGGAGCTGACAGCCTGGAGAGAGCACGTGGCAACCCTGCTCCCTCTGCGAGGTGCAGGCCACGGCGTGCGCGCAAGGCTCTGGCAGGGGAGGAGCGGGAGGGCTCACCGGCGTCCCTGGCCAGGGCGGCGGTGCTGAGCTGTGGGTGCACATCTGGCCCCGGGCTCTGGTCCTCAAACTCATCCAGGCTGTCGTCATCCATCGCTGGACATTGGAGTTCAGCTCTGAAACAAACCAGAGTCAAGTAGTTAGTTCCCAACTGTGCCAGGCTGCAGAGCTCCCGCTCAGAAAGAATGACAGTCACTCTCTACACATCGCATCCCCGGTGACACGTGTCCATCTATAAGACAAGGAGGCTGAGCTGGGAGAGAGAACGCACACAAAGCGGTCCCTACGACACACAAGGAAACGCTGATTCTCATCGACGGAGCGACCCCCGATCAGATCTGTTTACAGCAAACCTCGTTTAGCCTCAGCTGGTGATGTCAGCAAGAAATGGCTTATTAGGAACTTAGGCAAAGAAGGGCTTTCAACAGGGGGTGGTCCCCAGAAAGGTGCAGGTGACACACAGGGCCCTCTCCCTGCACTCCTGACACGTCCCCCTTGGCCAAGGCGGGCCAGCTGGCCTCCGCACCCCTGCCCACCCTGGGAGGCCATGAGCACAAGCTGAGGCTCCTGACCACCCCCGCAAGACACCCCGGGCCATCACTGATCCCGGAGACTGCCCAGGAGCAGCGCGGGGACACGGGGAGCAGAGGCCCACCCCTCGTGGGCCCGATCTCCACGTACGGATACCTGACCTGCCTATTGTGCAAGGCCACAGCAAGGACATCACAGAAGAATGACATAAATGACCTCAAATGACGCAAGACATAATGCTCTTTCTATACCAGGGCCTCCAACTTTGGTCCTCCCATAAGGGTTTCTTTCTCATCAGTGTCACTCACCCATTTCCCATTTAGAGGACAGCCCCTCACAGGGAGTCATTCGGTAACTCAATGAGACCCAGTGAAGAACCCCGCCCCCCCCCCCCCACCCCCCCGCAGCACAGCGGGCTCCCCGCAAGCCCAGTCTCCGCCACGGGAAAGAGATCCCATGAGAGACCAGAAAGCAGAAAGACAAAGCAAGCCCCAGGGGAAGGTGGGCCAGACCAGCATGTGCCCAGTATCCAGAGGGTCTCTCATTCCCAGATCCCACATGTAGGCAAGCGGAGAAGGGCTGTCACCAGCTTCGACATTCCCAGAGAACAAGCCCCTGCAGGGGCCAAGGCTAGAATTGGACCTAGGGCCCAATTCCTGTACAAAACCCAACTTCACTGGGTCTCATTTAATGAGATTGTCAACTGACATTTGTCGCTTCTCCCTGGACAGTAAACTTAGAGGGGTTCTGTGGAACCATTAACCCCACTTGACTAGAGGTCTGCACCCCTGTGCTTGGTGACTCATCAATGCAGCAGGATCTTACCTGTCCTGCACCCACACTCTGGCCACGACCTCCGCTGCAGGCACACTGACAGTTGTGACAGGGCCACAGCCTGTGGCCCACCCATGAGCGTGGTGCCTCTCCCGCGGGCGCCATACCTGCAGCGGTCAGGTAAGAGAGCCCAGGGATCTCTAAGCACAGCTGTGACTGTTCCCACAACAGGATGCCACAGCGTCATCCTGGGACCCTGCTCCAAAACCGCCCCTCCTAAGTGCGGCAGCTCCCGCTCTGGAGAAACAGCCAGTGAGGGAGGCGAACACTCAGCCACGAGCCCAGCAGGGGCACCTGGACACCAGCAAATCCAAACTCTGCAGAGCCCAGGGAGCAGCAGAGCCAGCGGTGCAGCTCGAAGGCAAATCCCCACCTGTGCTTCGCACGCAGAAGCCAAAGGTACAAAGAAACGCCCTTGGCTTCTCCCCTGGCGCACTGAGACGGAGGCCCACCTGTACGGGGCAGTGGCAGGGCCTGCTTTATAGGACAATGAGGCCATAATGGGGCCTGGCATGGGGGCTGGCCAGCAATGCCAGCACAGCAATGAGGGTGGACTCCACCAGCGCCTGCGCCTCGGGGACCCAGTCCCGAGGGCCTAGCGCTCCTTCTGCGCAGCTGCCACGGGGACCTCAGAAGGCGTCCTGACAGTCCCCACCAAGGGTGGGGGGGGAGTTCCAGTGCCCTGAGGCTGCAACCCCTTCCTGCACCACCACTGACCCACTGTAACTGCGACAGCACCCCGGGAATAGGCCCCGGGGGGCTTCTGAAGTACTTTCCCAAGCAAGCACCCCTGTGAACACCAAGAGACCACTTGGGACATCCACCGCCCCTGCTCTGTCGGGAACCATGCAGTCCGAACGCTGTTTGTTCATGGGGATCCCAGCTTAGGACCTAATGGCCCCACCAACAGCCCTAGATTGCACACGCCTGCCCGACACATCCCTACATCTGCCCGACACACCCCTACATCTGCCCACACATCCAGACCAAGGGCCAGGAGGCCATTTCTGCAGGGCAGCCCACAGGCCCTCCCAGCAGCTGGCGGCACTCTGTGGCTCTCCTGTTCGGCCTCCAGATTTAGGGAGACTAGGGAGAAAACTAAACCAGAATGAGGATTTCCCCTTCTCTTCAAATTCAGGGACCCAAAGCACCCACAATTTCAACCATTGCTAAGGAACCAGAAGAGCCTCTGGTGTGGGAACTGGCAACTGTGCGTGGACCAGGATCTGAGTGCCCACTGCCGGGCTCTGGCAAGCCAACTTCTCAGTCTTCACCGTCTGCCACAGAGGCCACAAGACCTCGAAACTAGAATGCAATGGAAGTCAAAAAGCGAGGGACCACCGAAGCCTTTGCAGCGCGGACACGCCACCGAGTCAACCCTGCAGGGCTGCTGAGAGGACTAAGGCTGGGCTTGCCCCGTCAGGGCTCTGCCACCTGCCTGGTGCAGAGAACAGG